TAATCGATTATAGGTATTGTGTTTACATATTGATTACAACAGTCCACGATAGTTGTTTTGAAATGCTCATGATCTTTGTCAAGTACTGTAATAAGGTAATTTGTCTGACGAATGAGGCTTTCAAGCTAGATTTTAGCGTTGAGTTCATTAATGTTAATAGACGTACTACAAAATTTAGGACCAAGAGATAATGCTGGAGTAATTGAAAATGTATTTCTCTGACGTTTCCAAAAAAAAGCTCGAGTTTCGGTCGGTTTTAAACTTTTTATTAATTTCAAGATCACATTTGTACAATTTCTGGCTACAATACCAAAATGATCTTTGAGTTTGGAACGTTCATCTTCTGAAAATTCATATAATGTATGTATTCGTAATGAAATGTTCCGTTCCATATCTGGTATTCTTGACTTAATTTCATCGAAATAATTCAAGGTGAGATGTTTCAAAGAACGATTATTTGGATGGATGTGGTTTCAGCGTAATGATTTGAAAAATGGTCTCGGATATTCACGTTTGTCTATACAGCTTTTCAGAAAATTGATTCTTCCATTCTCTATAGCCCGAGCTTTGCGTGAAAAACGATATATCCAACCTCCAATCCCTTCTTGGCCCTAACTGCCTTTCGTAATGTGTTTCAATTTTTTTCCCATTTTTTTCCCTATTTTTATTTATTTATTATTATTGATTCTTTGAATTAGTAGTTTGTAATTTTAGATTGTAATTAGTTATTATTACCATTGAACAATTTTTCTTTATTATTATTCAGTTTTTATTATTATGACCTTTATGTTTGTCATTTTTTTCCTTCATATCTGTCACTTGGACAATAATCTTTCATAATTCAATCCCGTTAATTATTTACAGCCGTCTATTCTTCTCTTACCCCTTGATTATTGCGTAATCTCATTTGATAATCAGAGTCCTAAATCAATTTATGATTCAATATTTTTTATCCTTCAATGGACATATATTTATCATAGAACTATAAATGTGAATATGCAGCTTAATTAAACGATTTCATCGAAAAGAAGATTTTCTTCCTTGAATTTTCTTTATTTTTATTAAACAAAATTTGTGTTCTTCACTGATAACAAACGTTTGTTACTTAATCTATTCGATTCAACGTTCGTGACATCACTTTAAGTATAGAAAATTCATTATAACATTTGTACAATTGGGAGATATGTCTGCGAATAATTACCAGGCACTTGATTATTACATTCGGATATATGTCTTATTATAAAAATATATTTCTTCTACTGCATGCAATGAAGCTATTTTTACAAATCAATTAGGATATGTTAAATGTTGTTACAATGATAAAACCTACAAGTTGGATGGATTTTGTAAACTGAATGAATAATGAAATTTGACTGTTTCTAAATCGTACAATCGTCTTAATTTATGTAATTGTTCTCTTTTAATTTACTAGATTTCAATAGTATACCATACGTTTTCTAAAAAAAAATATGAAATAATTCTGGTAATATCTATTGTGCTGGTAATAAAATGGTGGATGTGTCGCTTAATTTCGTGGATTGGTTGAAGTTAAACATGAACACCGTTGGATGTCTACTCATTGGTCTAAAGGTTAGGCGCTCGCGCGCGAGATCGATAAGTTCTGGGTTCGAATCTCGCTGGGGTGGGATCGTGGGTGCGCACTTCTGAGGAGTCCCATCCAGTGCTCCCACGTTTTCCATAGTAGTCTAGCTTCAATTGACTCATGATCTCAACCATTACTATAATATCCACAAAAAAACTTCTAATAATAAAATATTGCCAATAAATGAACGGCTTAAAAGAATCACTGTTATTAGTGGGAGAGGAAAAATAACTGATTAAGTACAGTATTTAAAAAATCTTAGTTTTATATTTATCTATATACACAGATCAAATTAAATGTTACTTTCAGTTAACTTATTAAAATATCCGGTATGTTGAAAAAACATAAATAAATAAACTTGACAGAGATGTACTTTCATTTATTTATTTCTTCGTTCCATACAAAGTTCATCAGAATGATAATAATAATAATAATAATAATAATAATAAATATATTGTTTATTTAAATGTTTACGAACATTGTTTTGGTCGACAATTAATAGTTGTTTCTTTACCACGCAAACTGAACATAACACATGATGAACATTGTTGCATATCATTACAGGTTATCTATTTCAAAATAAGGGGAAAAAAGACTTAAATCCATCAGTTTAGTGAACAAAAAAACAAGTAAAAAGGTTTAGAAATTGTCTAGTAGGATAGAATCGATAGACTGTCATTCATATTTTGACTAGTCTAGAACATCATATTGTGTTGTAAATTTAATTAATGTATATATTTGTGGGACTAAAAATTTGCATAATACATTCATCTGTCAAAGTAACAGCAAATAAACATCACTTTGTTAGGAATTACATGTTATTAAATGCAGTAGAAATGATAAAAAGTTTTATGTGAGGTTTTTTGTGTCGATTAGAAAGTAAGATTATTGACGTTCGTTACTAGTTTCTTTTTATTCGGGTTAAAAACGTAATCTGTCGCTACAATTACATGTAATTCAACTGTACGTTTATAAGTTTTTTAAATTACAATACTCGATATCCAGCCCAAATTTTGACAAATATGCCATTTTACAATAATTGATCATTTTATTATAAAATAAGTTGTCTAATTTATTTGATTACTGATGTAAACATACAGTTGTATTAGAGAAGTGAAATCTTGTACATGTAAGACCACAGTGAAAATTATTTGGACTGCTGTAGTTTCTCTGACGATAATTTACCCGGTAATATTAGTAGCATAACTATTGAAAACCGGAAAGCAATAGACTTCAGCACATGACTTCTCAACTGTACAGATTCACAACTTCAATGGAGACCGAGCCCACAACCTTCAGTTAATCTTTATTTTACTGAATTGGGATCGAATGGTCTAAATTTCTGACTTCAGTGTATCAAAGATACTGAATAACGGAAATAGTGAAGATTCCTGTTTACAACGAATCAACCAAAGAAAATTAGTTTGGTTTTTATGCATAGAATCCTAAGAATTATTTAAAGCATTTACTTGGTTGTCTGAGTCATTTACTCTAATACACATTGTATATTTCCGTAGACTATAATACTTAGCTTAAGTTGAATAAATTTATATTAATTAAGTCTGATCATTTATATTCAGAAAATATTTTCAAAATGTAAGAATTGGAATTCCTTATCGACGAAACTCTTCACTATTTCTACAATATCTATCAATTAATTGAAGAAAAAACAATGCCTCTTTGCATTCTTATTATAAAATTTAGTTCAATATCTTACGCATAAATAATTTGCTGATAACTTGATGCAACTGCAGAATACATATGTTCTGAGATTATTTATTTATTTACGCTTGTTACCCCTTTTCAAGGAGCATAGGCCACCCACCATCATTCTCTATCCAACACTGTCCTAGGCAATCTTTTCCAGTTCTTCCCAGTTGCTAATTTACGTCATCATATTTCGAACTTTATAATATTTCGTTATAACATTATAGTAAGATCGTTTTATTTTGTATATATTATGGCGAAAAAAAGACAACAGCATTTGAATAATGATTTGACTTTGAGCTATTATAAATTGGAATTCATTTTGAAAATTTTTATTTCTTTTACATTGTTTATCCCTATTTATATCTATCTGGAAAGAACTGTAAAAGATTGCCCAGGACATTGTTACTATTACTACGACTGGTTTTTAATTTTAAAAACCTTCTTTGTTGTAAATTACTGAATATTTTCCCCAACTTGTTGGGTATGAAATCAAGCTCACAAAATGCTTGAAATTTTGGAATACTGGTTGCATATTCAAGTTTCAGTCTAGTACTAATTAAGTAAAAATGAAAAATATAGTAGATACAAGCATTACTTGGACTAAAAATGTTCATTGTCATTCCGATATTACATCATGGATCATATTTAGTATATCTATAGCCAAGAAGATAAATCTAATACTACATTTATGCATTATGATGTAATAGACTTTTTAACATTGATTGCACATAAAAATCATAGACAGTATTAGAAAAAACTTGTATTGTTATTCTTAATTTTAAAAATAAATCTGATTGTATCCAATCATGTAACTGAGTGTTTATGAATCATACCCAAATAAGGTGAATATCAATGGACAGGAAAACTTTTATAATTTATTATTAAATTAACCAATCAAATAAAAGGAACAATATAGAGGTGCAGACAAATAGTTAACACTAAACACATCAAGAATGTAAACACAAATTCATAAAACTAATCAATAGTATACGTAATTTCTCCTAAATATTTTTATCTTTCATCCAGTAGGGAATATTCTGTTTGTGTAACACTAATAAATTCTATATGTTTGTTGTGTATTGTAGAAAAGGTGAAATAAAATAATAATTTTTATAGAAATAGACAGACATACATGTAACAGGGAAAATTTCATCTAAGCATAGATACAAATTGAACTAATCTAATCTATAAAAAAAATATTCAAAAATTTTTTTTCTTGTTGTTGTTATGAAATAAAATGCCTACATTGATTTTTTTGTTTCACTAAAAGAAAGATTATACCTCCTAAAGTGTTGCTTATTTCGTTTAGAGTATTGTTTCATGAGGTGACTATTTTCTGTATTGATCATTTATAAATTTTACAGAAATACAATAAGTATATAATCAGTTTTCCTTGAAAGAGAATCAACTATCAGTAAAGAGAATAATAAACATAGAATTATCATGGAAATAATAATGTAAAACTATTACTCTTTTTAAACAAACTATTTTGATTGTTTAAAGATCTCCATTATATTAAAAGACTAGTATTGGAATGAAGAATATTGTTTTCGATAAATTCTCTTCAGATTCTACAATTATATATTCAAATTAATAATCCCAATCGTTATTATATACATGGACAATTGTTCACGACAAACTTTTGATGTAATTGACCAAATTATTCATATAGACTGATATTTAACCAATGGATATCACAAAAACTTCATCACAACGAAAGTAAGTAACGGTTTTTTTTTTAAATTTCTTATTGGTTTGTGAACAGTTTTGTGATTTGTACGTTATTGAACTGTTGAAATTTATAGACTGTTTGATAGGTATCAAATTCCAATAGCTGCTCGAGCTCCCAATTTTGGGGAGAGTTCGATCCTTTTTGGGAAGCCACTATCGTAAACTTTGGGGAAGTGGCACAAAAACCCCGAAATTTCCCTAAATTTAGGGTCTTTCCCCAAAATTTCCACAAACTTTGGTGAAGGTCATTTGACTTTGAAGATTTCCCCATAATTCCCCAAAATTTACTCGGAATTCCTTGAATGAATAGATCGGACTGTCCGAAAGCTAGAATAAGATATATGGGTTTAACATAATAACCGACACTACAAGTATGATAAAAAGGGAGGTATTCAAAGGTTTTTAATAAGTTCTCACGAGATATCACGTTTTAATGGTATTTATTTTTAGAACAACATTTTGCAAATTTGAAGACTTGTGATAAACTAAGATTCCAGAAGTGTTTTGTTGTTAGAGATAGATGATTTAATCGTCTTTCAAGACAACAGTTAAAATGAAAGATCATTATCGAGAGGTCATTATAGTAGGAGATTAAAAACCTATGTAGATAAAAGAAGTATAGTTGTGAATAAAAATCTATAAAACTTCATTTTAACCGGACATGTTGTTTATCACTTATGAAGAAACTGTTGAAACTGAAGATTGACTATTCACCACTAAATTTTAATCTGTTCATTTAAACATGTAAGTGGTTAACTTCATTGTACTGTAATCTTTTTCTCTATTGGAAGTAAATAAGTTTTTCTTTTGACAAGACCCAGTACTGTTTGCTCATATTTCTTGAAAAAAATTTGTTTTCTTTCATTTCAGTGATTTATAAACTTTCATGTTAGTAAGAATGTTATGATTTGATAGAGTTCATTGAACTTTATAGTTAAAATCGGTCGATCCAGAACAATACTATACAATGGATAGTGTTAAGCGTTAAGTCAATAAAATTAAATTAATTTAGGAAGTTATCTCATAAGAAAAACGTCATTTAACATGTTTATACTCTTATTCTTTTCTGTAATGCTCCTCTCAATGAAACTTCATAGATGGTTTTCAGGCTTCTAACTAGACTTGAATAGTTTTATAAGCTTCATTTGTAAATGAAAAAAGAAACTGACTAATGATTACTCAACAGTCTTAACAACAGCTTTATATCGATCAATTATTGGCATACATGAAGACATATATTAATTTCTCATAATATAGTGACTAAACTTGATATATTAGTTGTTGGAGTTAAATTCCATTTATATTAGGGGTGTCATTGCAGATAATATTGAGATCATAAATTAAACAACAGAATGCTTTAATAATAACAGCTGAATGTTAAACATAAGTATATAATAAACAATTATGGTATTTTTAATAGTTGAGACAATGAGTCAATTGAAGCTAGACCATCATGGAAAACCTGGAAGTATTGGACGGCCGTTTCATTCAAGTATGGCACTCCTCAGCAGTGCGCATCCATAATCTCGCTCGCGAGATTCGAACCCACGACGAAACGGCTATCCAATGCTTTCAGGTTTTCAATGGTAGTCTAGCTTCAATTGACTCATGAATGCAACTATTAAATTACTTAAATTTCCACAAAACCCTCTTCTGATAGATATTAATAATTTTGTTGAATGACATAACACACCTTTATTAATTATGGATTATTACATGTAAAACTAACCCTAAGTATAGATGAAGAAAATGGCATAATCAAAGAGAGAATTCTTTTTACTGAATTGTCTTTATTTCTTCTTTGATTAAATGATGGGTTTATTTTGTTATTTCTTCCTAATCGATTTCAAATAATTATTCAGAAATCCAATGCCAGAATTTAAAACTGTATCATACCCAACGCGATCAGTTTAGCAGGTTATGGCTTCCTATTAAAACCTTGGTAAATCCATTTCATTATAATCAGTGATCTCATCATTAGTACTTATTCAACTGTTTTTGTGAAGTAAATAAACTTGGGTCAATTTTGATTTGGTTATTTATTCATTGAAGAAGTGGCTTACACTGAGTCACGGGACGTCAGAAAATCTGATTTTTCTACTCGTTCGGATATTACAATTATTTTATTATACTTGTAATAATCTACCCAAGGTTCAATTGATTTAAACGTATCACGTCGAACCTAGGTAATGGTTTCGTGAAGTTTTGTTGTCACCTAAATTTCTCTCCTTGGAGAAGGTTTTGAATTCAACTATATACATACTTTACATATTATATACAAGTGAATTCTAATCATTCTGTACACAAGCTCATGTAAATGTTTCTTCCTCTAATTCTGTATATTCACCGAATCAAAACAGTATTAAAACTTTTTGTTACTTACCAACAACATTATCAATTTTTATTGAGATCACGAACCGATCAATGCTAGACCACTATTAAGAGCTTGAAAACACTGAACACCCTTTTCATCCTGATTTGGGACTCCTCAGCAGTGCGCATCCACGACGTCGCAGCCAGGACTCGAACCTGGGACCTTTGATCTTGTTCAAACTCTTAATCTCCAAACCACCGAGTCAACATCCAGTAGTGTTAATGCTCAACTTCAACCAATTTACGATGTTGTGCTACAATCCTTCATTATCAATAAAAGAAAGCTTATAGCAAGAGTGATCAGAACAGAAAGATATGGTAGGAAGTTTCTATTATTTACAGACAAATCATAGAAAAAGGTCGTCTAACACACAGATATAAAAGTGTGGACTGGTAACAAATTAAAATTCCCCTTTTTGTACAAACACGGGCTCATTCACTATTAATAGGAGTAATGTATTTGTTATATCTCAGTGAGTAGAAAAATTACATTTCCTGATGTTTCGTGACTCAGTGTAAGCCCCTTTCTTCAGATAATAAGTAAACAAAGTGAATCTACCCATTTTCAAACAGTACAAAGGAACAAAGGAACAAAGCAAAAATATTTAGTACGATATATGAAAAACAGATCTAACTAAGTCAATATCATGTCACTCCTGAAAAGGTGATTTATTTAAGCCATGCTTGTGTATTTGTATGTATGCTATTGAATGAAAAATGTGACATTTGTAATGCAAAAGGAGAGTTCTTCACTATTATTTTTGAACTAAATTTTTAAGGATTTTCTGTATATTCAAGTACCTCTGACTGCCATAAGTGTCTTTATAAATGAGAAGAATTGTACGTTGTTAGAATCGTTTAAACGAAATAAGGTCCTAGCATGAAACTTCTCAGTAGTGCGAATCCACAACCTCACCGCCCAAGATTAATCCAAGAACATTCAAATTTCTCGACGAGACTGGTATCTTTAAGCAACCGAGTCACCATCAGTGGTGTACTTGTCTAAATTCAATCAGTTGACGAAATCTAGTGGATGTTTTCCATACAATTCCACATTGTCTACAAATAGCCTATACCAATACTCATCTTGCGTTCACTAATTAAGATTTTAATGCAATTATAAAAGTTACAGTGCAAGACTGTGACCAATAGAGTTCAACCACTTTGTGTATTAGATGGTTATCCACCTCAGGCAGTAGAAGATCATTGCATAAATATAGCAAATTGATTGAAGTCAGGCATTATACTATTAGTTTCTAACTTAGCTATCTCGAGGTTAAGCGTTTGCTGTGGTGTAATTATGGGAGTGCCTTGCTGAAAAGTCATATATTAGATCGAAGCATCTATCTAATGCTTTCTGATTTCATTGGGCTTAAAAATAAAGTCGGTGAATGATGTTAGAATTATTAGTTTATAATAAAGAACGTTCTCACAACTCATTTTGATGGATAGTAAGCACAATTTTTACTCTAAACTCTTAGTTGTTTTTGCATAACTAATATCGTATGGAGACAAATGAATGATGACGACATCCTGTCCAAAACAACAAATGTCGATAGGTATCCCTTTCATGTTACCACCAACTGTGTATACAAATTTACATGTGTCTGTCAAAGAAGATCAAATGGATTAAAAGCATTCAACAGTACCATTGCAAGACATCTCCTTGACACAGGACACGAAGTCGATACATTGAAGTCCTTCAAGGTGATTAACGAACAATCAAACTCCAATCTTTTGAAATTTTCCGAAGCGATAGCAATCAAACGTCTAAAACCAAATCTATGTATACAAAAAAGGGACAGTAATAAATCTTCTTTTGCCCTGGTAACATTAAACACTCCTTTTTATTTATTACGTCATTCATTATTTCAACTCTTTCTTAAGTTTAAATTACATCATTCATAACTGGGCGATTTCATATCTTTCTTTATTACTATTAATCTATTTTCAGTTACTTAATTACACAATCATGTAATGTTTATTAACTCCATGAGTTCTAATCACTATTTCAATGTTCTGGAACTTTCCCTCCCGAACTTTATTTATTCAAAACAAAATTATTATGACCTCATTAACTCTATCGGAATCTTCACTATATCATGATACATATATTCATCCTTAATCACCCTCTTATGTACAAGTATGTTAATATCTGTAATAACGCTGATTTTTAAGTATTCTAGGTTGTAAACAGCTGACGTGAACCTAACGAAATAAAATGAATTCATATAATTCTGCACCAATCTTTCTTCTTTCTCTCTTTAAGTTAACAAATGAACCTAACGAAAAAATGTTCTACTTTTTAGTAAGCATAGATTTCTACATAAATTGCAATATATATAATCATCTCGGTAATATATGAGTTTAGAGAATCGGTTTGATTAAACGCAAAGCCATTGCAATCCATGCTAATAAACCTAACCTTTGCATCCAAAAGAAGTTTGAACAACTAATTTCACTATCTTGGCTATAGGTATAGGGGCGTTTGTAGTAGAACATTGATAAACTATTTTCTTAGTTCTTCCACTTTTGTTTCTTGGATTTTTGAACTTTACTTATTCTCAACACTGATCTCTAGATCCTGGCATAACTACTATTCTACTGACCATTAA